GATCACCTGAGGTCAGGACCAGTCTGGCCAATGTGGTGAAACCCCATCTCTACCAAAAATACAAAAAAATTAGCCAGGTGTAGCCATGTGTACCTGTAGTCCCAGCAACTCGGGAGGCTGAGGAAGGTGAATTGCTTGAACCCAGGAGGTGGAAGTTGCAGTGAGCCAACGTCACACCATTGTACTCCAGCCTGGGCAAAAAGAACGAGACTCCATCCCCCCCCCCCAAAAAAAAAAGACTGAATCTGTTAATAAACCAGAAAAATTATTTTCTCCACAACATACACCAATTCCTGCAATGACACTATCATTTTTAAAGTGCATCATCATCATCATTACCATACTCAAAAACATTCAGCAAGTAAAGTTTATTACCATCTGATTGCCTCTCCATGGTGTGAAGTATTAACTGCATAAAATCATTTTGTTTGTCTGAGCCCAACAATAGTGAATCCATAGCTTGTTCCTCAAGAATGGTCAGCAACATGCAAATACCTGTAAGATCATTTAGAGTTTTCTTGAATTGATGAAATAATACTATTCTAATGCCTTCACTGGTTTAGTTTGCAAAAGAAAACCAAGACAGGAAGGAAGATGAAGCAAAATAGTATTAAAGTATTTAGTTTCTCAAACATTTAAGTCTCAGATATTCATATACAACTGCTCCCAAGTAACAGAACTTTACACTAATTCAAGTGTGAAAGTGGAAAATGATTAGAAAACAATTTCTAAGGTAACTACCATGTAACTTTTACCTCATCAATATAAGCCCTCAGTTTTAAGATGTACCATATTCCATATACCAGAAAGAAAGAAAGAAGAAAAAAAAATCACTGCCAATCATGACATAAGACCTTAAGATTTGGAATCACGGAAATGGTGCAGAACTATTTTAAGCCACTATAGGACTAGTAAACAATGCTGATAACTTTTAAATAAGATTCAGTTCATTTGCCAGCACTTGAAAATGTAACTTAAACAGAAAGCTTCTAGGATAATGTCTAGTAACAAGATGTGTAATAATTAAGTCAATTTAATGACAATAAAAACTGAGAACTATAAAATCCTATCTTTAGCAATTTTTATCAGATCACCAAAAGAGAACACTTCCTTTTTAAGACACTCATAAAAACTATAAGACTGGGTGTGGTGGCTCACAACTGTAATCTCAGCACTTTAGGAGGCTGAGGTGGGAGGATTACCTGAAGTCAGGTGTTCAAAACCAGCCTGGCTAAAATGGTGAAACCCATCTCTACTAAAAATATATATTAAAAAAAAAAAAGCCAGGTGTGGTGGTAATCGCCTGTAATCACAGCTATTCAAGGCAGAAGAATTGCTTGAACCTGGGAGGTGGAGCTTGCAGTGTGCAGAGATGGTGCCACTGCACTCCAGCTGGGCAACAGAGCAAGATTCTGTCTCAGAAAAACAGAACTACAGGGAAATACTAATGATATTAGTGTAGGAACAATACTCACCTAACCAATAGTTTTTGTAGTTGGTAGTATCATACATGTGTGAGGGCAGAAGAATCAGTTTACCCTTCTCGAGGACAGAAGAAGTATAAATGTCTGGACTCTCCAAAAGCCCCAACTCAATGACTTTAAAAAGGCAAGTTAAAACCTCTTGTAAGTCATAATAATCATCTCTGTCCACTTTCCCCAAGTTTCTTGCAGTCAAGATAGCCCAACGCCGAACCTAAATACAGAACATAATGTGTTTATTACTTAATTCAATAAACAATGGTCTACATTGTTTATTGTATATTTTATACAGCAAGAACACAGTTAAGAAAACAGCATTCTCTGCAAATTTTAAGACGTGAGATACTAATTAATGCAACATATAAATCTTATTTGATCGTGATTTGAACATACTGACCATAATAAACAGTTCTAGACAATCATTTCCATTCATTCAAACACTGACTGCCAACACAACATTAAGAAATTATTCTTTTAGGGCCAGGTACGGTGGCCCTTTGGGAGGCCAAGGCGGGCAGATCACAAGGTCAATAGATCAAGACCATCCTGGCCAACATGGTGAAACCCCATCTCTACTAAAAAATACAAAAATTTGCTGGGCTTGGTGCCATGCTCCTGCAGTCCCAGCTGCTTGGGAGGCTGAGGCAGAAGAATTGCTTGAACCCGGGAGGCAGAGGTTGCAGTGAGCCGAGATCACACCACTGCTGGAGATCTGCACTCCAGCCTGGCGCCTGGTGACAGAGAGACACTCTCTCGAAAAAAAAAAATATATATATATATGTATTCTTTTAGATGTAATAACAGTATTTTTCCAGTGCAGTGGCTCATACCTGTAATCTCAACACTTTGGGAGGCTGAGGTGGACAGATGACCTGAGGTCTGGAGTTTGAGACCAGCCTGGCCAACATGGCAAAACTCTGCCTCTACTAAAAGTATAAAAAAATTAGCCAGGCATGGTGGTGCACTCCAGCTACTTGGGAGGCTGAGGCAGGATAATCACTTGAACCTGAGGGGCGGAGGTTGCAGTGAGCCGAGATCATGCCACTGCACTCCAGCCTGGGTGACAGAGTGAGACACCATCTCAAAAAGGGATAATAATATTCTTCTGTTTTTTAAGTCCTTATCTTTTAGAAATACATACTAAAATATTTTGTGGATGACATGCTCTGATATCTAAGATTTGCTCTAAACTAATCCAAAGGGAAGTGGAATGTTGATCATGTACGGAAAATAAAGCTAACCGATGGATGGGGGGTTTATTGCACCATTCTCGCTAGTTTCGTGTTTACAATTTTCCATAACAGAATGAACATTCTGTTCAGAAAAGGAAAGAAAACACAAAATGAGGAATCTCAAAAGAAATCAAAGGGCATTTATAAATGGCAGAATAACACAGAGAAGTGATTTGTACTTCTTGAAGGCTTTGAATTAAATTTAGTGCTCACAACCAGCCTTAAAAAAGTTAAAAAACAAAACTAGGCAGGCCGCTGTAGTTAAACTCCTGTAATCCCTGCACTTTGGGAGGCCCAGGCGGGCGGATCACTTGAGGTCGAGAGTGTGAGACCAGCCTGGCCAACATGGTAAAACCCCATCTCTACTTTAAATACAAAATTGGCCAGGCGTGGTGGCACATGCCAGTAATCCCAGCTACTCGGGAGGCTGAGGCAGAAGAATCGCTTGAACCCAGGAGGCAGAGGTTGCGGTGCGCCAANACCCAGGAGGCAGAGGTTGCGGTGCGCCAAGATCGCGCCATTGCACTCCAGCCTGGGTAATAAGAGTGAAACTCTGTCTCAAAAAAAAAAAAAAAAGTATTTCATTATGTGCTCTACTTACAATTTCAGAATGTTACCTCTTTATTTTCATAATTTAAAAAAAAAAACTAGGCCAGGAGTGGTGGCTCATGCCTATAATCCCAGCACTTTGGGAGGCTGAGGCAGGCAGATCATGAGGTCAAGAGATCAAGACCATCCTGACCAACATGTCTTTACTAAAAATACAAAATACAAAAATTAACTGGGTATGGCAGTTCGCAGCTATAGTCCCAGCTACTCAGGAGGCTGAGGCAGGAGAACTGTTTGAACCTGGGAGGCGGAGGCTGCAGTGTGCTGACATTGCACCACTGCACTCCAGCCTGAGCAACAGATGCAGATCTAATCTCAAAACAGTCTCAAAAAAAAAAAAAAAGCTAAATAGAACAGAAAAATATCTAAGTACATCTTTCACAGTAAAAGTATTGTTTTACAAAATACTTTATATTACATATGCACACGTATACACAAGGAAAACATTTTTTACTACAAGTTGTAGTCAAAAAGGTGGAAAAACACAGACCCCACAAGTAAAAGCATGAGCTCTAAGCCAATATAAGCTACAAATTATAAACTACTGAAAAAGTTTTGGAATCCATGAGTCCTTACTGATAATAAGTGGTAGAAGGGGGAAAGACTCTTGATTACTGTACAATCAATGTCAAGTGGTAACTAGTAAACATGGAGAGTGCTGGAGTTAGGAAACTACCATCTGTTTTTTTTTTTTTTTTTTGAGACAGAGTCTTGCTCTGTCGCCCAGGCTGGAGTGCAGTGGCATGATCTCAGCTCACTGCATCCTCCGTCTCCTGGGTTCACGCAATTCCCTGCCTCAGCCTCCCAAGTAGCTGGGATGACAGGTGCCTGCCAGCACGCCCAGCTAATTTTTGTATATTTAATAGAGATGGGGTATTTCACCATGTTGGCCAGGCTGGTCTTGACCTCCTGACTTTAGGTGATCTGCCCCCCTTGGCCTCCCAAAGTGCTGGGATTCACAAGCGTGAGCCACTGCACCCAGTCCTACTTTTTTTTTTTTTTTTTGAGAAAGAGTCTCGCTCTGTTGCCCAGGCTGGAGTGCACAGGCATCATCAGGGTTCGATGCCTCAATGTCCTGGGCTCAAGTGATCCTCCCACTTCAGTCTCCTGAGTAGCTAGGGCTACAAGTGTGCAACTCCACGCTCAGCTAATTAAAAAAAATTTTGGTGGGCCAGGTGCAGTGGCTCATGCCTGTTTCCCAGCACTTTGGGAGGCTGAGGCAGGCAGATCACGAGGTCAGGAGATCGAGATCATCCTGGCCAACATGGTGAAATCCTGTCTCTACTAAAAATAAAAATAAAAAAATGAGCTGGGCATGGTGGTGCATGCCTGTAGTCCCAGCTACTCAGGAGGCTGAGGCAGGAGAACTGCTTGAACCCAGGAGGCAAAGGCTGTAGAGAGCCAAGATCACGCCACTGCACTACAGCCTGGATGACTGTGAGACTCTGTCTCAAAAAAAAAATTTTTTTTTTTGCAGACATGGGTTCTTGCTATGTTGTGAGGCTGGTCTTGAATTCCAGGCTTCAAGCAATACCCTCCAGCCCTGGCTTCCTAAAGTCCTGAGATTTCAAGCATGAGAAACCAGGCCCTTTTCCCAATTTTTAACTAGTATTTTCACTCTCTTTATGGTGTCTTTTGATAAACAGTAACTTTCATTTTAATATAGTCAAGTTCATCAACTTTCCTTTCATAATCAGTGCTTTGTTTCTTTTTTATAAAACCCTTCCTCAGGCAAGGCATGGTGGCTCATGCATGTAATCTCAACCCTTTGGGAGGCTGAGGTTGGGGGGCACTTGAAACAAGAGTTCAAAACTAGCCTGGGCAACATGGCAAAACCCCATCTCTACAAAAAATTAGACAGGCGTGGTGGCAGAGGCAGGGGGATGGCTTGTACTACTCAGGAGGCTGAAGCAGGAGAATTGCTTGAATCTGGGAGGCAGAGGCTGCAGTAAGCTGTAATCATGCCACAGCACTCCAGCCTAGGTGACAGAGCAAGACCCTGTCCCAAAAAGAAAACCAAAACAAACCTTTCCTCATCTTACAATGTGAATGACACACAGCTCTATTTCCTGCTAAGAGTTTGAAAACTGAACCTAACTATGGTTTTTAGGATAGATTTTATCATTATGATAATGAGGTAGGGATCTAACTTCTCTTTCCATATAGTATACCTTTCCTATCATCTCCATTGCCAGTCCCTCTTTACCTCAGACCTTACACATTGTCTCCTTAAAATATCAAAGATCCAAATGAGTAGGTCTTTTTTCTTTTTTCTTGGGACAGAGTTTCGCTCTTCTTACCCAGGCTGGAGTGCAATGGTACGATCTCGGCTCACCACAACCTCCGCCTCCTGGGTTCAAGCAATTCTCCTGCCTCAGCCTCCTGAGTAGCTGGGATTACAGGCATGTGCCACCATGCCCAGCTAATTTTTTGTATTTTTAGTAGAGACG